GAGACAAATATTCCGGACAGACGTGGCACGTCATTCCAGCGCAAGATTGCGGACCGTAACGAGTGACCGAGCCGTACACAACAATTCGTCGCATTCTCTTTAATTTAAATTCGATCGATACGACATCACTGCATAGAAATTATTAAGAAGTAATAAATGTATTATTTGTTTTACCTACGCTATACTTGAATATACGTAAAACTGAGAAAATATTGCAATTTCGAGACAAATATTCCGGACAGACGTGGCACGTCATTCCAGCGCAAGATTGCGGACCGTAACGAGTGACCGAGCCGTGCACAACAATTCGTCGCATTCTCTTTAATTTAAATTCGATCGATACGACATCACTGCATAGAAATTATTAAGAACTAATAAATGTATTATTTATTTTACCTACGCTATACTTGAATATACTTAAAACTGAGAAAATATTGCAATTTCGAGCCAAATATTCCGGACAGACGTGGCACGTCATTCCAGCGCAAGATTGCGGACCGTAACGAGTGACCGAGCCGTACACAACAATTCGTCGCATTCTCTTTAATTTAAATTCGATCGATACGACATCACTGCATAGAAATTATTAAGAAGTAATAAATGTATTATTTGTTTTACCTACGCTATACTTGAATATACGTAAAACTGAGAAAATATTGCAATTTCGAGACAAATATTCCGGACAGACGTGGCACGTCATTCCAGCGCAAGATTGCGGACCGTAACGAGTGACCGAGCCGTACACAACAACTCGTCGCTTTCTTTTTCTTTTAAATTCGATCGGTACGATATCGCTCGATAGGAATTATTATCGTTCGTTTACGACCTGGGTTACGTCAAAGTATACTTGAAACTCAGAAAATGTTGCAATAGCTTTGCGACAAAAAATTCTCAACTCTGCGTGGGACAAGAGGTGAAATTCCAAATGGAAAAGATATTCGAGCCGCGTTGGTTCTATATGTATGAATTATAATAATTCATATTTATATATATATATATATATATATATATATACACCGCGTAATACGAATATCTTTATTCTTCCTATTCAGCGGAAGTCAGCGAGAGATTGGAAAGAATTTTTGTAATTTTCTGCTCGTCGTCGATATCAGAAACGACGGTCGTCGTGAACCTGCTGTTAATTAGGAATGTGGGGCGAGTGTTCGGGTTAGGGGACGGGTTCTTTGTTACGGGGGATAATCAAAGAGGCTCTCGGGGGAGACTTGCCTGAACGATGTCTCCCAGATCGCCGCCCGGCGCGCTGAAGGTGAGCTTGCAAATGTAAGGCACCTTGTCCTCCTTTGGTCGATGCAGCTCCAGGTCGTAGGTCTTGCCCACGTCCCCGTAGTACGTTTTATTGCACGCTGAAACATTAAGGACAAACATTATTGGTACAACTTGGTTTTTAAGTATTTAGTATTTAAGGTATTTAGTATTTAATTTTGGTTCTTAGGTATTTAAAGCTTAGTTTTACGGTTCTCAACGTTTTCAAATTTCCGCTTTCAAATTTCTGCCAATAAACGAAAATGATATTTAAGAGACTTCGTCTGTGTTTCTTTATTTCATGTACAAGAATTTCGCATTTTTGTTCATATTTCAACTAAAAAGAAATGAACAAACGTGTAACACGTTCTAGTAATAATTATACATTAATAATTTTGATAAATACGAAATGAGGAATGCTGTACTATTCAATGTTGCATTAGCGTTATATAGATCATTATAAGTAATTACAATGTAAGGTAGAGAGAGAGAGAGGATTAATTGCACTTAAAATAAAACTTTTCTTTTTGAAAATTAAAAAAATGAACTTTTAGATACGACATTTCGAAAAAATTTTGCGAATTTTGCACTCGGGCAAACCAGAGAAAAATATAAATTGAGATTATTTCAATTCGTGTGTAACACCAGGGTCACGTTGGCATGATACATTGGCCGTGCAAAATTTATACACTTTACCAAATTCAATTCATATTTAATCTTTGTAAAATATCACGTTACGATAGAAACTCAATAGAATTATTTATTTTTTACTTTTAAAGTATTATCTGGTTATTTAAAATTTCGATGATATCCAGTTTGTTTCAACAATTTTTCCACTCCTCGACGTGTTGACATGAAACTTGACCGAGAGATTAATCCGACAGTGTTTCTCACATTTTATTTAAATTTGAGACGTTCTTTCAATTTACTATTTTTTACTATTTTCTTTACTCACATTTTATTTAAATTTGAGACGTTCTTTCAATCTACTATTTTTATTTAATTTACTTTCACATACACGACAGTGTTTTTCTCACATTTTATTTAAATTTGAGACGTTCTTTCAATTTACTATTTTTTACTATTTTCTTTACTCACATTTCATTTAAATTTGAGACGTTCTTTCAATTTACTGTTTTTTACTATTTTTTTACTCACATTTTATTTAAATTTGAGAGGTTCTTTCAATTTACTATTTTTATTCAATTTACTTTCACAAACACGACAGTGTTTCTCACATTTTATTTAAATTTGTGACGTTCTTTCAGTTTACTATTTTTTACTATATTTTTTTACTCACATTTTATTTAAATTTGAGACGTTCTTTCAATCTACTATTTTTATTCAATTTACTTTCACAAACACGACAGTGTTTCTCACATTTTATTTAAATTTGAGACGTTCTTTCAATCTACTATTTTTATTCAATTTACTTTCACAAACACGACAGTATTTCTCACATTTTATTTAAATTTGAGATGTTCTTTCAATTTACTATTTTTATTCAATTTACTTTCACATACACGACAGTGTTTCTCACATTTTATTTAAATTTGAGACGTTCTTTCAATTTACTATTTTTCACTATATTTTTTTACTCACATTTTATTTAAATTTGAGACGTTCTTTCAATCTACTATTTTTATTCAATTTACTTTCACATACACGACAGTGTTTCTCACATTTTATTTAAATTTGAGACGTCCTCTCAGTTTACTAGTTTTATTCAATTTACTTTCAATTTGAAAAATCAAATTTACTCTTTAGAGTTTTGCAATTGATTTCGAGAGGCAAACGTGCAACACGAGTTATCGTATCGTGAAAATTTCACGGAATCGTTTTCTCTTTTTTTTTTTTTTTCCAAAGCAACAGCCTGAAAAGCGAGATCCGCTCGTTTGAACATCTCCACCCAGGGCCAATTTCTTTTCTCTCGTTCGGTACTACAAATCAAAGATTCGAACTCGCCGGAGCATCCCTGGCAAAGATCCCCAGCCAAATTTCCGTGTAATCGGTATCGGAGACTCGATCAAAGGGTTTATCGAAGTGAATTTCGAGGCCGACCGGGCAAAGAATCGGCGGAGGCGTTCGATGAATTGTCGATGGCCCCAGGGCTGGTCGTTTCCCGCAGAAAAATTCGATTCGCCCGCGATCTCCTCTTACATTCAGTTAAACGGAGAACGCCGGCTCTCGATCAAAGTCTAAGCTGAATTTACTACCACGTATATATATATATATATATATGTACAATTACGTGACTCGTGTTTATTACGATATTACACCCAATATACTTAAACCATAAACTGTGTACTTGGAAAAATTGGTTGCATTTCGAATTTCAGAATTTTGACTTGGACGCGTTTGTCGAAAATTGGATGTTGGAGGTTTGAAAAATTTTCTTTCTTCCAAATGTTGCAGTTAAATAAATTGTCTTAGTACAGGGAAATCTGTCTAATTTAGTTTTGGTCTTCGACTCAGTCTTATTAAGATTACTTAGAGAAGTTATATTTCCATGTCGAATCTCAGAATTTCGACATCGACGCCGTTCGTCGAAAATTGGATTTCGAAGTGATTTTAGAAATCTTCCCAACCTTTGTAGAGAAACAAAAACTTCTTTCAAATATTACACTTAAAAAGAAAAAAAAAAAAAATAAACAGAAATTCTCTTTTAATTAGATCGTAGTACAGGAAAATCTGTTTAGCTCAGTTTAGTCTTAACGTATGTGTCGAGTTAAATATATACTATCTTGATACAAATATATACCATCTTTATATTATATATTTCATTTTTTAATTTATTTCTTTATTTTTTCAATTTATTCTTATATTATCTATCTATATTTATTCTTATATTATCTATCTATATTATATTATTATATATTATCTATCTATATTATATTATTATATATATTATATTATATTATTATATATTTTATTTTTTCAATTTATTCTTTTACATATCATATATTTCATTTTTTCAATTCATTCTCTTACATATCATATATTTCATTCTTTCAATTCATTCTCCTACATATCATATATTTTCTCAATTTATTTTACATTTTATTTTCACTTTCCAATTCGTACACAATAGTTTAGCCTCTAAATCCGACGTATTTAAAAACATTATTAAACGCGTATTTTCTCGAAAAAATTCACCGTCACGCTGACGACAGGCGCGAAGCGTGATAACGCAATGATCGAAAGACTTTTCGTCGTGTGTTTCAAAGGAAACCGAAACTCTCCCGCCGATTAAGTTACTTTGGCTTCCTCTATCGCATGCTCCCGTGCAGAATTACATTGTAGAGGATGGCTGGGTTACAATACCAGTTCATTGCGGGGCTTCAAGGGTTCATCATGCGCCAGTGTACATAATATATATATATATATATATATATGGGAATCGAGGCTAACGTCGCTGGGCCAACACGTGCGAAGACACACACAGACAAGCTATCGATGGTGGGGGAGTGAATGGGTCGAGAACACAATGCACGCCATTTCCAGGCATCGTGGTGGTCTCATTCCTAATCAGAATCCTAGTTTGCCTGGCTAATAGCGCACCTTGGAAATCTGGCCACCTTGTCTTCCCCTGTTGCGTCACTTATCGCCATAACCTCGGCCAATTTTCGTCGTTCGTCGAAACCTAACCTATAAGTCTCGCGTCTCCTAACCTAACACGCTGGACTTCTACATCAGGAGAATCAATCTGTTCATGGTCGGAGGAAGAGGAAATTGTTTCGATTGAATTTTAAAAATATTCCTCTTCGGTGAGGAAAAGTCACGACGAGAGTTCGGTTAGGCTCGATGATTTCTCTGGAAAAATAAGAGGATCAATTGTTTTTAGGCAAAGAACAGTTTTCATTCTTGCAGAACGAAAGTTGAAACAAAAAGTCTCTGAATTTTGCCTACTGAAATTGATATCGAGGTGTGTATGTCTCTTTTCGCAAACTCGTCACTGTTCAACAACACTCAGATATAATTCTCCTCTTATAAGAAGCGAGAGACAGTCGGTAGGATAAAAGAAAAGAAAAGAAAAGAAGAAAAAAAGAAAAAAGAAACGAGGGGAAGTTCTCGAACGTGTAAGAAAGCTGACTGACAAGTCGCGACGGATCGTTCGGAACGGCCGTTGGAGCCCAGGTGTAATTGAATATTCGTCGTCGTTAGGTTTAATGACAGGATTCGGTATCGGAAACCGATAGTCGGCCGTCGGCCTCTCCTCTCGCCGAAGTATCACGAATTCAGCAGGTGCATCTGTTACGTCAAATTACGAAAGTTCCCCTCCAGCTTCTCCGTGGCTGCGTCTGCCGGGGCTGACTAATGACTGGCATCAACTACTTGCCTGCGTGTCGTGGTATCTGGCAGCGGTGTCTGACGAATTATGGGCTTTTGTCACTGTTCAGACGCAGTCGGGGGGCCCCGGGCATTTGCACGCGGCCGCGTTGCAGAAATTTGCTCCTCCTCCCCCCTCCCCCCCTCTGACGGCGTTGCGCAGAGGCTCAAGGAAGAAAGAAAAAGAGAGAGAGAGCAAGAAAAGTCTTTCTGCAGCGTCTCCGCGATTAATGATGCCACCCCCCATCTATCTTCACCGCGCTTTTGTCCTGTTTTCTATCGCTCTCCCCTCCCCTTTATCTCGCCGGTCGGTGATTCGCCGCTGTTTACCCGGCTCGCCTTCATACTCTCTCGTTTGTCTCGATCCCGCCGCCAATTTTTCCGTCGTTCCTGCCAGAAACCGGCGCTGATCTTCCGTCCCCCGATTCTGGGGAACGTCGACGCCGACCCAGTTCCCGGTAGGGTAGAAGCCTTCCACTCGTCGTCCGCCGATCGTCGCGATAATAAATCCTCGACAGGTGAGCGCCACCGTTTCTCTTCCCGGCCCGTGCCACGTTCCACGCCCGTCGCCGGATTATATTTTATTGCGCAATAAAATATGGACTTCTCGCCGCGCGTGTGTACCGAGCGCGTTTTTTTTTTCTATTTATCACGCTGGCGATCGCTCGACAGTTACTCTAGCCCGATTTCCGAACGTCGGCAGCGTTATCCATTTCTTTTTTTTTTCTTTTTTTCTTTTTTCTATTTTTCTCTCTCTCTAGAGCCTTGCACG